ATTTTGGAAGGACCATTCGCAGCAGTTGCTATTTGTGAGACCCTTGCCCTGGGTACCCCATTATTTCAATTGGAGAAATTAGTAACACAAAAGCACTATTATGAATTATTTGAGCCCTTCAAGCAGTCACTCACTTAAAAATTAGACCCTACAAACCCAAAGGTACTACAGACATCAAGGCTGCCATCTTATCCAAATAGTTAAATAAACTTGGCATTTGTCTTCAAACTTCTCAGAATTAGTAATGCTGACAACATGTCTGCCAGCTTTAAAGGAAGAGGAAACTTCCAACATTTGCCTATTGATATTTTTATAGAAACAGAAAAATGTTTTTGTTTTTGTTTTTGTTTTTTTTTTTTTTGTTAATGAAATAGACACATACAATAAATGTCATAATTTAAAATATTGCTGTCTTTGTAACAAGGCAGATCAAAACCTGCTGATGCCTTGACTGATCTGACAGAAGCATATCCAGCTAGGAGAGGACTTCAAATGAGGAAAGAGGACAAGGACAGGAGAGTGTTAATTTCCATTAGACACCAGTTTGTCAGGAAACCTTTCTCCCACTGGAGCAGCACTGGGGCCGAGTGGAGCGCTGCCACTTGCAAGCCGGCCCGAAGCTGGGGGCTTTGCACATGCAGGCTGTCTCCTGCCTCCTCTGCCAAGCACAGTACTGCTCCAGAAAGGTGCCCCTGAGGGGGACAAGGAGGGCTGGCAGGGTAAGAAAGAGAGGCATTTTAGCCTCCTTTAAGAGCATTTTTACAGAATTGCTTGGTAATTACAGAAAATTTGTTCTGATTCAGTATTTACAATGTAATTGGATTTATCCACAAAAATAATTTTGGATTTGGTTTGACAAGGTTTGAATTGCAAAACAAGCTTTGCAACTATATTAATCAAGTCAGCCTGCTATGAGGATGACAGACTATTTTGCCACAGTGGGACTTTTTGTTGGTAGACTTAAGTGCCAAAATAAGCAGAAATGATCTGCTTATTCTCTAAGGGCAAGTATAGGCCAGTGTGTTTTCAATCCACTCTTTCAAGGCCTACCGACAAAATGGTGTAGGTGTAAGCTCTGTCAGAAGCTCCTTGCAGCTGGGAGGACAGCATGGGAACTCTGTGCGTCGGTCCATGGAGCAGACAACCGTTCTCTCCAGGTGCAGCTCACTTGTACAGGAAAGCTCAGTTTAGAGCATCTGTAGATTGGCAATGTGGCTCCTTCATTTGTTGTCTTTTTAGACGCTGACCAACGAGACTGAATCTCCACAGCCCCATAGCCTGTGATCCAGTACCAAAATTGAAATGCATCGAGAGTGGGGATGCTTGCTTAGGGCTTACTGGTGCTGCCCAGCCCCGCAGAAGACCCCTGAGTGCCGCGTGCTGCTCCCCTCCCCAGCACCCCATGCCGGGGCCAAGGAATATCTCTGGCAGCAGCTTCACCCCTGTCCTAAGGGCTCTGTGCATCTTCCTGCACTACATGCTTGGGAATGCCCCCATCCATGCCCCTGATGTGACCGGTCTGTTCCTGTGGCAGGAGGGGACATAATACTCCCTCTTCTGTCCACATTGTAATGCCAAGCTGGGGAGCTGGAGCCTGTGAGTGCCCCAAAAGGAGATAAATGGGCCTACCACCACCAAAAAAATATCAGATAATGATGTTCTCACATAATAGTAAGCCCTTATGTAAGCACTTTTGAGGTGAATGTTCACAGAGAAGAAAAGGTTTGTGCCAAGATCCCATCCCGAATCCCTTAATTAAAGGAGTAGTCCTGTTAATTTCAAAAAATTACTCGCCTAAATACTCACCACTCCTGCGAAGAAAGTGCTGTATTATTTAGACCTAAACAAATTAGGCTATGCTAAGCAGATTGACAGGTGAGGATACCATTCAAAGATGAAAAGGGATAACAGAGTCTGCTCTGTTTAGAATGTTTGATAATTCTTTACAAGGGCGCAGAGTGGAAGACATTCACATTTCGTTTTTATCAAAAGTAATCCAACTGTCTCTTAACCTTCATTTTAGGAGGGTAAATAAGCCAGCATATGGAAACATCTTTGACTTGTCATTTTCTCTCTGAGAGCAGTTGCTGCATGTGCCCAGGACACTGCCTCTGGAAGGTTTGTGTCCCCCCAGCACCCCAGTCTTTTCACCTTCCTGAGTTCCTCCCATGGAGTAAATGCATCTTGAGATCATCTGGAAAGCTTCTCCCACTGAACCCAACAGCCTTCTGGGAGACATCTGTGCTGCTTCAGGCTAAGCTGGATAAGAAGCAGCTAGAAAACAAAACCTCCTTCAGAAGCGGTTAGGTGCATTGGTGTCAATGTAAAGTAAAAATTGGATAGGGAGCAGGATAATTTCTATTTAAATCGTGGTTGCAGTTCCTCATAACCTTCTGCCTAAAGGCACATTTAGAAAAAGTTCAGGCAATATTTTTGTCTGCAGAATCAGCTATGGTGCCTCAATGCTGGGGTAGAAATAGAGAAGTTAGCACTCAAACTGGTAGCAGAGTGCCTCTGCATGTCCCTATGAATTTTGTGTTTGCTTCAGCTAAGTCTTTGAAAACTGGATGTATCTATGATAATTGATAATTGCTCATATACGCATTAACCAACAACTGCTAAAAGATTTGCACTCTGCTTTTTACCTTATTTATCTGAACTCAGGTGTTTAGAGCTCTCAAGCCAGACAGGTCCTACACCCAAGATACCTTTGCCAAAAATCATGCCTTAGAGAAAAAATACTGTTATTTTTGTGTTTGGTTTTTTGTTTTTTTGTTTTTTTTTTTTTTTTTTCTCCTCGTTGTGAAATTTTGTCTTTCTGTTCAGTAAAGAGCAGGGAAGTTACTAGCTGGTGGGAGTACAATACCCTTCCTTTGCCATCACTGATTGCTCATAGGTTGTCACTTTCTAGCTGAGTCCCAGGGTATCGTATTTTGAAAGTTGAATTGTTTTTTTATGAAAGGGGCTTTATAAATATATTTAATACTTCATTCTAATTCAATGAGAAACAGTGTATCAGATCACTTGTTTCACTAAGGTATGAGCCTTAGAACCAACTGAGTCAATGATACAGGGAAAGAATATAAGCTTTAGTTCCTAAAGAAGCTGACAAATCAAGTCTAAAATAATGTGAACAAAAGAGATATTTATCTAATTTTCTTTCTGCACAATTACTTCCTGTAATTGCTGGGGCTTTGTTTCATGTACATTCTCTGGTAGTGAACACTGTCAAAGATGCGATGATAAAGTAAGAAACTCATCCACAGGATATTCTAGTGGTGCTTTTTTACATATACCAGGCATATCATTTAATGAATATAAGTTTTTACATTAAAATACAAATTTAGGTATTTAAGACAATAGAAGTAAAAAGACCTTCAAGGTAACTAAAAGACTAATTTTTAATTATAGCTTTATTATCACAGGTTTATTAAAATAATTCTCAGAAAAATTAATTCTCTTCCAAGGAACAGAACACTGAATTAAAAGAAAAGTAATTCTGAATCATGTGCTAAGATACCCAATAGTGGTTACATTTAATCAGTAAGCATCACATTTAGTGAGTCCAGTTGTGGAGCTACCCAATTAATGTATCCTTGTTATGGTGGAGTTAGACTGAATTAAATGTGTACCACCAAGAAGGAACTACCTATTTAATCAGCTCTGTTAAGACACTAAGTTTTTTAACCTATTACTACCTAAAGCTGTTACATAATGATGAAAATATCTCTGTCAGTAAAGACAGGAACTTGATATCAAACACTGAGACATCTGTTTTACTACAAGTATCCAAACAGCAGGTAGTTTCTCTTAAACAATTACAACATAAATTTTCTTCAGTATTGGTTTATCCTAACTTTTTTAAAAACAAACCAAAAAGGATGGAACAAACGCTTGAATGAGTGACTGACAAACTAACACTGAAGAAATCTTACTAATTTAACATTGTTGAATGGGTTGAGTGGCAAAGCAGCTTGGAAATCAGAGTGAGATAAACAGAAAATTTTAAAATGCTGTAAGCTTTAAATAAAACATAAAAACATGTTGTGTGTATGTGTGTGGGGAGAGGACCGTTACACATAAGTCGGTGTTTGATACGTGGCATATAATTACAGGAAGTTTGTAGAAGGTGCCATGATACCTGTCAATTATCAGCAAGCAGAAAATGCAGATAACATACATAATTCATCAGCATACTGCCCTTTGTTGTTAAGATGACTGATTTAGCTCCATAACATAACTGCTTATTCAAAACAAGACATTTAAATTCAAATGAAATACTGTTACCTCTTCAAAATGTGCTCAGTTATTATACTGATTCAGATGTATATGTATGCATTGCTAAATGTTAGAAAGGAAGGCTACAACTACACAAATTTATATGTGCACACAAATCTGTTGTATTATGAGGAAGAGAAGACGTGATATCAATATCAGTCAGCCCTTATATTCTTGCATAAGAGAATCTGTTAGCCAATTCTGACTTTTAATAGAAAACATTTAATGATTAAAATGATTTTAATGTTCTTAATATAGTTGTTTATTCTGCTAGTTTCACACAAATTATTTTAATAATTGCAAATATATATTAAAATTGTTTAGCAAAATAGTGGAGAGGTCAATTCAGCTTGATTTCTCCTGCTAGAGCCTTTAATTGTTCCTGCTTGAAGTCAGATGGATTTTAATAAAGAACCCATCTATCTAGATAAGGGCTACCAGTAAGTACTGATCAGATACTGTGTGGTGGATTTTCATTTTTTTTTTCCTGAGTAGAAGTTCCTTTACTTAAGATAAAAATTAAAAAAAACATCTACCAAGATTTAAAATGCCTAATAGAAATATGGAGATTCTGGAAATTACTAGTACTCATTGCTCAGGTATGAAGAGACAGAAAACAGTTCAATGTTTGGAGGTAAACATCTGAGATACAATGGAAATTTGTGTACAATACAAAACACATAAAGAGGAAAGAAATGAACTACTTCTATTTCCTATTTCAGAAAATGAGAAGAAGACACATTGTGAAATCAAAAGCATTTAAAATAGAAAATTCATCAAGGGAAATTCCTTCTACATAAAAGAAAGGCTTTCGCAGTTGGACGTCACTCCCACAAGCTGAGTGGAAGCAAAAAGCTCTTCTGCGTAAGTAGGATTTCTACAAAGTTTGAACTTCCATGAGTGATGAGTGCTTTCACACCCATATACAAAGGAAGCTGTGAATATTCTCATTCTGTACAAAGGCCCATGCTACTGTACCAAAGCTGCTGCTATCTGATGTATGCATTTCCCTTACGAGGACGTTGCCTGCTGGGTTGGATTTTGGATAGGTAGATGTACTGTGTGTCTAGAGTACACTTCATTCTGTGTTACTAATAAATAACCACAAAAACATTCCAAGAGGCAAATCATTTCTATTCAGAAAATCATTTTCCTAGGTAGAATAACAAAATCTAGTAAATCAGATGACATGTAGAGACACGTGACATGAAAGTGATCTGAAAATGAGAAGAAAGGTAGAAAAATGGCCAAGGGATCTGTCCTCCTTCTGGGCTGCAGTTAACTAAAGACCCTCACTGGCAACTTGGCCTTGGCCAGTAACCCTTTCCAAGCGTCTGTATTTTCCTTACTGGCCTGAATGAAATCTTGAACAAGAATAAAATCTCTCACAGCTGAAGGGGAAATCCTACCACTTCAGGTTAGTAAAACATTTTGGGTTAAGTTTTCAAAAGACTGTTGATGGGAATACGAAAACAAGAAGCAATTGATTACATCCCAGTTTACACTGTTTTAAAAAAGGCAGGACAGACTGCAAAACCTGCTTTATGAGAGTTGCTCAGGCTGACTCCCTTCCCTGCCTCTGAAGATTCCCCCAATGCCCAAGTACTTTCCTCCCCAGTTGCCGAGGTGTCCGTCTATGCTGTCTATTTGTTCTAGCAAATGCAAAATTGAATATACATAATTAAGATCAGGTTTTGGATATGGCGCTTTGGTTAGCTGCAAATAAATTCAAATCAATTTGTCAACATGTAAAACAATACAAAGTGTTGCCATATTTGTGTCCAGTACATAACATACACTATTGCTCTATCCATAGGAGCACTGAAAAAAAAAAAAAAAAAAAAAAAAAGCAGAATATTCTGAAGCACATGCAGAATAAAGTCATTTATCATAAGCAGGTAAAGCTGTTCTCAAACATATGTGCTGCATAAACAAAACATTTATTGTACTCACAAACTCACAAACTGTCTGTATACTCTAAATGTAAAAATGACTGTGCTCCTGATTATTTCCCCTGAGTGCATATAAAATAGTGCCAAAGGGCAGAATATTACCAGACTAGCTCAACCACACCTCAGGCTTCCTGCAGGCTCACTGAGACAATGATCTCCATACATTTATTTGTCTTTGTTGCCCTTTCTCTCACCCTTGGTGATTACTTCACACAGGGCCCCTATGTGGGAACAAGATGGCAGGAAGATGAGGAGTATAAGAGCTGGAAAGCAACTACAGTTTGGGATGGATGTTGTCCTTCTGAAGTAAGATGGAGTCACCCAAACATGTGGACAGTGGTCAAACAGCAGTGAGGGTAGAGACACTGGGAGGCCAAGAGAAGGAAAGAAAAGAGTAGTTTGAGAAGGTCCTTGTTTAAGTTTTGCCACCAACCTATAGACAAGGACACTTTGGCTGCACTTGTTGTTTTATTTACCTAGGGTCAGCTGAGTAATTTTTGTCATGCTTCTGTTTGCACCTCCAAGAGCCTTCTGAGGGGCGAATGTGTTCATTTCACATGTACTACGCTCTGTTGGGTGGTGCAGCTACAGCTGTTGTCCAAAGCAACTAATCCAGGACACCCTTAGCAAGTTCCATGACTGTAGTAGAACTTGTCACATATTGCCAAAATCTCTCTCCTCACTTGGGACTGTAAACACTTAGTTTCTTTAGAGTGGTGGTTAGTAACTCATTCTCGTTTACACATTTGTAAGAAAATTTGACAGTGGAGGAAAAAGCAAAAAACACCACCACCATAATTGGAGAGTTTAGGTCTTAGCACTAGCTAGAGAAAAAGTATGTAGTAGGGTATTAAACAAAGGCGATGATGCAGAGGAAACGTGAAACAACCAGCCCTAAAGATGTAAAAGATGACCTTCGGGTAGCAGGAAAAGGTCATCTCCTAAAATCTAACATTCTGTCATTTAGCAATGCTTCTATTTGTGCATACTGAATTACTTTTAAGTCTAGATGAATGTAAAGTCTTTGCAAGGTGTACAGTCAGACCAGTGATTTCTGAGGAGCAAGCTGTACTAAAAGTTTATTCTTTTTGTTTGCTGACCTATTAAGGATGTTTTTTGAGCATGGACAGAAACTTGTGTCATTCACAAAAAGTAGTCATGGTGTATGTCTGAGTCAGGGCTGAATGTGATTTATAGAAAAGGTGGTGTTTTAAGCTACACCCTGTTGTTACTAAAAAGCACAATTGCATATAAATTTTAAAGTAATAGGGGAACTTTGATGCTTTATGGCACAAATAGTTCTTTACAGGCAAAATTGCATAATATACTCTAGTTATATAAAATTTATGATTTGTCCTGTGTGGAGAGTTAAATCAAGAACTGTAATTAAAGATGACACATTTTGTTCGAACATATAGTGATAGTCATTTTATTTACAGTATCACATTATGAAATAGGTATTGTGGTTTAAGTCCAGCTGGCAACGAAGCACCACACAGCTGCTCACTCCCTCTCCCCCAGTGGGATGGGGGAGATAAGCAGAAGGGTGAAAATGAGAAAACTCATGGGTTGAGATAAAAATGGTTTAATAGTTAAAACAAAAGCTGTGCACACAAGCAAAGCAAAGTAAGGAAATCATTCAGCACTTCCCACCAGCAGGCAGGTGTTCAGCCATCTCCAGGAGAGCAGGACTCCATCACATGTTGCTTGGGAAGAGAAAAAACATCACTTTGAATGTTCCCACCTTCCTTCTTCTTGCCCCAGCTTTATATGCTGAGCATGACACCATATGGTATGGGATATCGCTGTGGTCAGCTGTCCCAGCTGTGTCCCCTCTCAATTCCTCGTGCACCCCTACCCTGCTTGCTGGGGGGGTGGGGTGAGAGGCAGAAAAGGCCTTGGCTCTGCGTAACGAAATAACAAAAACATCCCTGTATTATCAAGTTTCCAGCACAAATCCAAAACACAAACCCATGCTAACTACTATGAAGAAAATTAACTCTATCCCAGCCAAAACCAGCACAATAGGTCAGAAACCATGTTTTCTATGAAAAACTTCACAAATTCTTACCATATTCTCAATATAAATAGTTGATGTCTATGCAATCTCAGTATATGGTCATTATAAAGATATACATAGCTTCTAGCAGAGCCAAACTCACAGGTTTTGCTGAGTGAGCATTGGCTTTCAGGTTCCCCAGCAAAGCTGCTGTCAAGCATTATGGCAGTTTCTGTTCAACTTTCATTTTTGATAAAATACAGGACACAAACCCAGTGACGCAGATGCTTGACAAGGGACTTTAATTCACCGGTATGCAGTGGTGTGCTGGCAGCTGAGAAACAGGTATTAAGATAGCTAGACTCAGACACATACTATGCACTTATTTTCAGATTAGTTAAAGTAGCAGCTGCTTTTTATTACAGTTTTCAGATGCAGAACCTCAGATGGCATAAATTATCAAACCCATTGAAGTCAACTGGAACTATGGTAATTTACACCAGATGAGAATCTAAGGTATCATTGGAGATACAGCCTCACTACAAGAATCTTAAATGAGAAATGCTGCCTAGTGGATCTAGCAAAAAGTCTGGAAAATCATTTGATCAGATTGTGTCAGTCAGCCCATATGTTAAAAGCAAGGTGTGATAGTCTGGGGAATGCCTGCCAGTTTGTGGATATGATTTCACTGTAATTTAAAGTGCAGATTAGACACACCATTTTGTAGCAGAAACAAGATTGTATCTATGGAGCTGAATCAACCTTCAAGAGTACCTCAGCCAGGAAGAGCAATTAGACTGCAGCTACAAACAACTGACCGTTATCACAGCACTTTGACATAAACCTGATGTGTTTCCCATGAAAATCTCATCAGAAGTCTAAAAGACCTAGGCTTTTTCAGAAGAGAAACCTCCTTCAGTACAAAGACAGAAAGAAAGCAAAACTGGGGAAAAGAGGATGGAGAAGGTTTTGCCTCCTTTCCCCATAGCCACAGATCAAAATTTGTTTTTTTCAGATGCCCATGAGAAAGGGGGAACTGATGGTCAAGAGTAGCTGTGTGTAGACCAGCAAATGTTGTGCTGCTTTGCCAGGTCTCTTCTTGGGACTTTGTTGCAACACAAACAATAGCATCTGAGACACAAGACTCCAGTAGAAGGTGGCAAAAATCAACTGTGAAGGTGTGAGGTACTAAGCCATTATCTCACCACAGCTGTACTTTGGATCCTCGTCTCAGTGAGAGCTGCCAGGCAGAATCTTTATCATGGGGAGGACACACAAAGGTCCAAAGTTAAAGATGATTCCTAAAAGCACTCAATCCAAAACTGGAGTTACCAAGGCACAGAAACATAGGACCACCCACCAAAGAGATTCGGGCATATGACTTAAAGCATACTTAGAAATATGATGCTTTGCTTACCTGTAGATTTCTAGAGTAGTTTAAGTACCGTGGAACAGTTGTCTGATGCAAAGATGGATGAGGAAAGAGTGACACATCACATGTACTCCTCAACGAGTAGTGACTAGTGAAACTACAAAGAACATGCAAGGCAGTCTGATGAGAACATAAAAGAGAAAAACTACCCCTAAATGAGACTAAAGAATCTCCTCAGTAGTAAAATACTGTTTGGAAGCTTAGTGAGAAACTGGTTTCATCTGAATAGAGGCTAAACCCTGGAGCTACTGATACCAAGGGTAGCAATTAGCACAGCTCCGTCCTGGTCAGGGCTGCAATGATAAGGTCACCAGCGCTACCTACTACTTCCATGACACTACAGTGGCTCTTCCTTCTCTTCATTTCTTGAGATCATGAAATCTATTAGCTTCTTCAACACTGAACAGAAAACCACAGGGTCCTTCCTGATGCTTTTTTTTTTTTTTTTTTTAAACACATCCCTTCCTTATCAGTATCAAAGTAATTAAAGAAGTTGGTAGACTTGTGGAGGATACCATGGCAAACTTTGCGCCAAACGCCCATTTAGAAGAATTGCTATCAGGTATAACGTTTCAGCTTAGAGGAAGCTTAACAGAAAAATTCAGATGATCAGTCATAAAGAAAAATGAGTGGTAACAGAGATACAAATATCCAATTCTTGTTAGGGGCTACTTGGAATGCTGATCTCATTGAAACATGCTCTCCAACTTATTTTAAATTTCTTACGTAATTATATTCTGTTTTCAAGTTCTTGTCATTGCACAGAGGTCCCTTTTGTATAAGTTCATATTCAGGTCGAGTTCAGAGAGGCTTCACAGCCATCAGAGACAAGACATTGTCCTTCTGCCAATGTGGTTTTGCCCCAGGCTGCAAGAAGGCTGAAGTAGCCATTGTAAGGGATATTTGCATTTTTTATGACTTGCTGAAAGGAAGTTTTTAGCCAAGCAAGGATATAATTTTAGTTTTCTATGTGCAAAGAAGGAATTGGTTTGCTGTAAGTAATGATAAGCTAACGTTATTAATTACTTCTGCACTTTTTATTTGAAGGACTAAATATCACTTTACAAACAAGAGCCCAGATACAAGTTGCAAGTTTTGGACAAGCTGAAAAAGCAAGTGTTGATATGAACATATACTCTTGGTGTGTTTAAAATCATACAAGCATACAAGCGTTAATACATTGGCTATGACTGTTAATCCAAAACAGTATTCCACCTCCTGTATATGACCACGAGCTTATTGAGTGGCTCAGAATCACCACATACACTGTTAATTCACAAGACTGTGGCTCAGAAACTGGAATACACGTGAAAAAGGAGTGCTAAAATTCCATGTGTGGCTGTCTGTCCTCCGTGTACATCTTTAGAACAGGCTTTTATGCATTCTGGATCCCTTGCCACACTATACCATTTACAGAAGATTATGCGATTTCTAACACTGCTGCAACTGCACTGAAGTTCCAGTACAAATGTTAGCATACATAGACAAAAAACTGGATCATGAAATAAGCCCATAGCAGAGCTACAGGAATAATCAAAACCACCTTGGTCCCTGTCCGAGATGAGGCTAGACCATCCACTGTGATCCTCTGGGCTGATCTGTTTTATCATCTGAGATTTCCTGAACTACTGCTGATTTCAGCTACAATATGTCTTTTAAGACATCTCTTGAGATTTAAACTACTAGAGATGGAAAGCTCATTATAATTTTCATTAAATTGTTTGAATGGTTAGCTGCTCATTACATAGGGAAAATTGTACCACTCTGCTTTATTCTGATTTTGTTCATCTTCAACATCGAGCAAGTGGATCCTGTTACATGTGTGTCAGCTAGATGGAAAAAAACAGGTATTAAGTTTCTATTTCACTGCAGATACCTTTGGACTGTGCTCAATACACTTTTCTGTTTTATAAACTAAAAACTTCCTTGTCTGACGCCACATGAATCAATGATTTTTCTGGCTCTTCTCTCAACCTTTTCTGTCTACCAACAGTCTTCCTGAATCCTACACTGAACAAAGCAAATTACAACAAAAATTGTCTCAGTGCCAGATATATAACCAGTATTGCTTTTGTAGCACCTGGAGATTTCTTTGCATAGCCAAGAATGACATGAGACATTCTGACCAAAGCGCCATATTTCAGAGTTTATACATTGTTACCTTCAACAAATCTCTCTGCACCTCTTTATTCCTCCTCCAAATCCCTAAATAAAAACTCATTAACAGAAGAAAAATTCCAACCAGCACTTCCAGTTTTTATTAGGTCCAGCAAAATGCAAGTTTCTGAAAATTAAAAAGGCAGAAGCAGCATTAGCTTTGCCATAATGTGAGTGACAGTTAGGCTCTGGGAATTATCTGCAGACATGGTTTTCTTCCCTTATTTGTTACAGCTGTACCAATACATGTGAAAAGGGTATGCAAGGCAGAGAAAGGGTAACAGTGACGTATCTACAGTATAAGAGGTATTTAAAAAGACTGGCTCAAGGTTCAAAAGTAGAGCTAATCTATAGCATGGGGATGTTTTAGCATTATTTTGAGATGCCAGAATAAAGTTGTGTAAGCATGTAACATAACTGAATGCTTTAGAGATGATCAGAGCCATGATATACACAGAAACCCAGTAAAACAAACTGGAGGCTTAGACTTCCCTAAAGCAGAAGGCTGTGTTTGCTAGGGAAATTTATTAACATCTTTATCAACTGACCTTCAGTGGCTCCAAATTTGGGTGCCTCCTCCACTCTTGAGCTCCGCTATTTGGTGGGCAGACCAAATGTACCAGTAAAAAGGACAGTCTGCTTTCACTGGTTACAGATGTATCACTTCAATAGCTATACAGAAAATATTTGTCTGTTTGCCCCCATTTTATTAGATAAAGTCATCTGGACTGCATCAATGACTTACCTCTGTTGCTTACTACATCCCCAGTCTTTCTGGTCATCTATAAGTATCATTGATAATTTTGTACAATGTTTGATATAATTTAAAACAAACATTAAATAACACATGGCCAAAGCCTGTTCCTAAAATTACTGTAATATGAATGTATTGCTCAATTAGAATCCTCTATTTGCTATTTTGTTTTCAGCCGTCAGTTAACCAATATTATATTAATTAACAGGTCATACTGATCAAATTGGCATGACATAAAAAGTGTTATGCAGTGGTAAGTCAAAATGTTTGGAAGAAGTCTAAGTATTACATAAACACTATTGTTATGTAAACACCATATTTTTTATCAAGTGTGTTGTTTAATAGAACTGTGGTCAGATCTGTTTTTCACATACCCATATTGACCAACATTAGTTCTACTGATTTCTTTTACATAGTTTACGTATCAGTTACACATTTTTGCTTACATAGATGCTAACCAGTAATCATCCTGATTGTCCCCTTTACCCTTTGTACTGCCAGTACTTTTAACATCATCAAGTCCTCTGGATTGTCTTTCCCAGTTTCAGTTTTACTGGAAACAATTAGTATCAGTACACATAGCTGTTTGGCCATTTTGAATGAAAACACTGAATTAAAGTTATCTGAACGTGTTACTTTCAACCTAGCTTTGATGGCTAACATGCCTCCAAGTTACTGATGTAATAGAATGTGTTTTCTCACCTTGCAAAGTCTTAGAATCTTGGGGTTTACCCTGATACTTCAAACATAGAAAAAATACTTAATTATTCAGTCTTTTCTGTTTCACTAGCAACATTTCCATCATTCCTATAGATCCATTTGATTCTTAGGACTAACATAACCCTCCCTAAATGTACCACCTCTACCCATGAGGGCAGCAAGGAACATGAATGATGGTGTGTTCTTTGCAGACGTAATTGCCATTTACAGCACTGACTCAGAGGAAGTAGTAAGTCTACATAAAATATTCCATCAGACTGGCTGATGTGTTATCCCAAGATGGTGTGTTGAGGCAATAAAGAGCAGTCACTGTTCTGAGCATCTGTTGAAAGGACAGAGTCAGCTTAAAATCGAGCCAACTTTCAAAAGTTAGTTAAAAGCAGTTCTGTATTTTCCTACACATCTCCTAAATGACTTAAGCTTATTTACAGAAACATGTCTTTCATGCTATGTGACAGATGCACACAAAAGAAGAGACCGACTTAAAAACATTGAAGTTAACCACAGATAAAAGTGCAGGCAGAGTAACCAGGGAATTATTTTTGTTCACCATTACTTGCAACAGCTGGTATGACTCAATGAGAAAGGTGTAGTTACATTGACTCTGCTCCTTTCAGAAAGAAGTGTCCTGTGGAGAGACTCAAAGGAGCAAACTGTAATTCAATCCACCTTCATTCTGCCAGACCACAACTTCCCATATGAAAGATTTCTGCAAGAACATCACAACATGCAACAACAAAAAAATACTTATTAGACTAAGTTTACTACCAGTTTATAGCTGGGACAGCAGAGGACAAACTCACATCTAGAATTTCCTTTTATATTCCCCTCCTTATTCTCATTCACCCCACACCTTTTTTTTTCTTTATATGGAGACAGTAGAACATCCATCTTGTCTTGGAATTGTCATCCTTTGATTTTTTTCCAAGCAAATGTTGAAAAAAATATTTTCACTATCTTTGCACTACAGGTGAATAAAAAAGGCTGGTAGTATTTTTAATTTTTAAGTATCCTTCACACAAATCTATGGTTGTTATGGGGCTAGTCAGAACCACCTCTGGCTATTAGTATTTATACCATTATGCTTTCACTTATCAAGGTAAGAGTTATACAAATGCTACCACAAATACTCTTGCTGAGGTCAGAGTAAGCCAAAGTAGTAAATTTTGCATAATTTTCACTCTGTAGATGCTGAAGTGTATTATCATCTGGGCTGTAGTCAGAAACAGTATTTTTCAGTTCTCAAGCTACTTTCAAACAGTTGTCTTCTGAATGCTAATTTCAGTCTTGTGTTGGCAGATCCATACAGAGCATGTCATGAATGTTGCCATGGTTATACTCTCCATTTAGTAAACAGTATGAAATAAACTTATATTCAATAGCAATAATGCAACTTAGACCAATCCCCAGGTGCTCTTAAAGTGGTTCCTCTTCATTTACACTTCTTAAAATCTGAGTAAGCAGAGATTGCAGTTTTATATCCAAGTTGCCAGTATACGGGACATCATCCCTTTTAAGAAGTGCTCAAACTTAGCAAGCAATTTTTCACTCCTAGGACCATCACTGTAGACAAGGCAAGAGATTCTGAGTAAAGGGAAAAAGTTGTCTTCTTCCCCTTAGCAGATGTGGTGACTGCGACTCATGAGTACCAGATGGAGGCTGTCACCACAGCATCACTTATTGGGACAGGAAACTGCAACTTTTGCAAGGCCCAGCGCTATTTTAGGATGATTTTCCTGACGCTAGAATCAGTCCAGGGTGGATTCAATTTCCTCAGCAGTAAATGCCATTTAGAGGGTGGAGTTGGCAGGGACTGGGTTTATACATTCATCCTTCAAATCTTACTTGCATTAGTTCTGCCCTTCTCTGCCTCAGTTCTTCCACTCCTAACTCATATCCTAGTGATTTATTTTCTTTTAAAAGAAAAGATCTCTAGCTTTCCTAGTGAACTTCAACAGCACTCGTTCAACTGCAGCCAGAAAACTTTTGTTTTGAAAAACAAAAAGCAAAACCTTTATGTTTGAAGAGATAAATTGAAAGGTCAGAGTAGGGTGTAAACCAACTTAGTACTGCATGTCCAAGTGTGCATATGGAGAGCTTTGGTGCCTGCGCTGCCGCACAGTGAAAACCATGCTCAGGCTTTGCTCCCGCTGTTGCTCAGAACCACTGAAACCACGGAAGAACAAGGTGATTTTTGTGCTGCCTGTAACAAAGCTCTGAGAAGCACATATTAAAATTACTAACTGGGAAGCAGACCTGAGTTAGGGTACTGAAGTGATTCTTCCATCTTCTCAGATTGGGGGAGCAGTAACACAGCATCAGACCTTCACTACAACAGGATGAATTCAGAGTCTTCATAGAGACCTGTCCCTGCCCAGAGGCTCCATTTTTTGGAACCACTGAAAAGTGTATTTTACATGAACACACCAGAATAGATTTCTACCCCTCCTACTCAGGGATCACAACATCCACAGGATGACTGATGGTGACATCTGCCGAAGTTTGCAGTCACCGTATCTGACACAGTATCTCCTGGAGCATTGGAGCCACACCACATGCAGTGCCTCTATCTGTTCCCTCTGAAGGACCCCAACACAGCCCAGCAGAGGACAGTGTCTAGCAATAAGACATCTGTCCCGTGAGTCCTGCCTAATTTATTGAAGCAAAGAAGCATGGATATGTATTAAGCATCAAGGGGTCCCTTCCTTTTTAGTAGTAAAACTGCCAGATTCTTGCAACTCCTAGTACCCTCTGGAAAAAAGCTCAAAGCACTAACTTTCTGGAAATATAAGAGTACATTGTGCCGCTATTATTCCAAGTGGCAAAGTGCAGCAGGGGCATATCCCTCAACTCATCTTAATCCCTGGAGCACAGAAGAATAAAAAGAAGAATGCTCTCTCTTTCTGTTCAGAGCGACTTCAAAAGTTAGATGTTGTTTAGTGACAGACCAGTAGGGAAAAAAAAAAATCCCTGCTCCAGGAAAGGGCTTCCAGTGAAACCTTTGAAGATACTAAAGCAGAAGGAGTACTGGTATCCCTGACAAAAATTTACTGCAGAGCTCTAACCATAGCTTATCTCTATCTTCTGAATTTGATTACAAGGCTTAGCTCTTGCACCATTTCCAAGACTGCAGGACAGGAAGAATAGGAAGAAGAAAGGTAAGCTGATGAAAAGTTTACAGAGCTTTAGCTGGGACAGAGCAGTACAGTGTACAAAGAACTGGTAGCACTAAAGCATGGTCAAAGGAACATGGGAAAGAGAAAGAAGGGGTAGAAACAGGCAAATAGATAATGCAAATACTTACAGTTGGGGTATAAAATAAATGTGAAAGTACATCAACATCACCCAAGATACGTGTTGGTAAGCTGTATTTAACTTTGAAAGTTGTCGGCTCCAAATGGATGCAGTATTCCACAGCTCAGTCACTCACTGTTGCAGGGATAACCTGGTAAAACAAATGCACATCAGTCTAATTAGTGCTTGGGCTAGAAAAAGGTCAAATACTTTCTAAAGCCCCGGGACAAATGGCCAAGTATTACTTAGTTAAACCTAACCCACAGAAGAACATAATGGCACTCTGCTTAAGGATGGAATTGACACCATACGGATACAAACAGAAGATGAAATCTAGGTGGGGGGGGGCAGGGGGGAGGGAAGTGAAAACAGCTCCTCAAAATATTACACCTTTGCATAGGGTCTTTATTAATTTATTACTCGGTGCATAGTCCTCTCTGACCAAATTAAGCTTAACCTTGTGGCACAGCATAATTTTTCTGCCATACAGAAATATATCAGTCTCTGATTTCATAGGGTATCTAAATTATACAGAAGCCCACATATTTAGGGCACTACCTTGTAAGTTTATCGTTTATCCCTGATTCAACCCAAGTTAAAAGTTGTCTGTAAATCCCGACTGGGTGCTTCAGTCCCAGCAAAGCTAGAGGCAGGTTTGCTATATTGTTCAAATACTTGTAAACTAAGAATTTAAGTACCACTAGGAATCAAATTTTAAACATACTGTCAAGAAAAAAATCCCAATGTCCAGCTCAGTTTCCCCAGCTTGCTAAATGCAATCATTGGTGACCAAGTTAGGGGAAGCAGACATTGTACTCAAGCTTTTTAAAAGAATGACAGTTGTTTAAACAAGAACCATTTAGGTGCTGCTTAGCGATCTCCACCTTTTCTCTGCCTCCATACTTTCCGCAGGTCCTCAGTTACAATTTATAAATGAGAGAAGTTCACATAAGACTGGAAAATATCTGAAGCGATTGCTGACCAGTTAGCTATACTTTCCTCTTCCTTGCACCTCTGTCATGGCTGTGCTGGTGGAGACAAGGAGGCACCCACACAGCAAGGGTCCTACTGATAGTCACCACATAGTGCCTGGGCAGGAGCTTCAGTTTTGGGCACATTTAAGCTGGTCTCTTGTAAGTACAACTCTCTTGCCTTTGTGAATTTATTTGGACTCGCAATTCTTGACACTGGTAAAAGAGGGGTTTTGGTTTTGTTTTGGCTTGTTTTTTGGGACTTTTTTTTTTTTTTTTCTTCAATGCCATTTTAAAAACCATTCTACCAGCACTTAGCATCCTGGAAAATGCACTTTTGAGAATTTTAGTATATGCTGTTTCTCCTTCTTTGCCACAAGTGAAAATCTAGGTAAGCAATGCCTTTTGTTCCTGACGTAAGTGGATTGAGGTTTGCATGCCCTTCTTCATGCTGAGTTTCTGCCCAAGAAATTATTATGTTGCCTGCCACAGCAAGTTAGTTATTTGGTCTGATGCAAGGGAGTCTAAAGTTAAGTGCACTTAAAGGGAGGAAGCCTGAGAAGATAAAAAGGAGGTTTGCTAGTGTAGGATGCTTATCAACAGGAAGGTAGTCCAATAATGTTTCATTTTAGACCATCAGTCCACTTCACTTTCTGTACATTATATGTGTTGAGGTGTTCCTACACATGCTGGTAGCCCAACTGGTGGCATTTTGCATCTGATTAACTTCTGAACTGGCCTATCATATTTTTGGTGGAGGGTATCTGACCAGAAGAGGATAAAGCTTTGAGGAATCTTTTTTTTTAAAAAAAAAAAAAAACGCTTTACCATCAAGTGTACATATTTGCAGTAGAGAAAAAATACACGTAAGACAGTTATTTTAAAACCTGAAGTTTTCATCAAATTTGCTTTTATTTCGATATTAGACAAATATAATCCTTTAAAAAGTTTACAAAAGCCTGTGAGAGGAATAACTCTGTTTCTACTTTGAGTGTTCATGAATTCTGCAACTCAGATCTACAGGTCACAACAAACCCAGAGGGATGTTAAATCTAGAGTCCCCTCAGAGACAGGATTCTCTGCTTTTGACTTTCTGCAAGTGGTAAGTTAAAACTCTGAAGAAGGGCAAGACACTCTTATTTCTCTATTTCAAGACTGTGAAATTCTGAATTCCCTAAATCAGTTCAACATTTTAAGAAGTCACTGGCACATTATCATTTTACTTGTAACAGTGATGCTTTTATCCCTAGTAACTTAGTAGTGAGCTAAACAGTCCCAACAGATATCCCAACAGAAGGCTCCTTATAAGGAAGAAATAATTCATTCCCAGGGTCTATTCTCAATAAATGTAAACTGAATGTGCTCATTCCTTGAGGAAATACAGAGCAGCATTAATTCACACAGCTCTGGGACTATGGCACACACAATGCCCTCCCCTTCAGTCCATCTCAGAATGACTTCATACATCAAGTATCAAGCCACAAAAAGGCAGATGACACAGAAATTAAAGTCAAGAGGATTTAGTTCAAATTAAGATGTTTGTCTCTTTTCATTATTCTAGAATGCTGGTAAAACACGCTTAGTATTTTAAGTACATTTTCCTAAATGCTTTTAGATTCTAGCCTCCAACTCCAGTTTTGGAATCATCATGGAATTTAATTAGAATAAAAAGCTTCACTTTGAAAGGGCTCATTCAGTGCTGCTGGTTTATTTTCACTTTAATAGAGAGACTCTAAAGAGCTGGCAATATTTACCCTAGAGTATTTTATTTAAAAGGCTAGTGTAAGGCAAATGATCTTTTTTTAACTCCTTAAATCAAAAAGTTTGTAAATGAAGTATTTTAACATCGTAAAACTGAAGATATTGACTGACTACACTATCTTCTTCATTGACCTGTTTTAAGACGATACCTTCGTCGACAGTCATCACTACTGTCTGTTTTTCCTGCATTTGAATTTCCACAGTCACTATACTGAGAAGTGCAGTGATATTCACTACCTTTAGCTACAGCAGTGTTTTTCAAGCTTTCAAATGAGAAATGTTAGAATATATTTGGTGTCCATAAAACCCACAGCTTTCTTATAAGGACTTAAGTGCCTAGTTATCTAGAAAGACCTAAAGAAGCAGAATAAGAAAGACTTGGTTTAGCATTGTAAATTCAGCTGTTTCAGTAGGCCCATCAGTCTTTCTTGTATTTGATTACTTCTGTCACCTCACGTAATTTTTCTTGTGGTGTTTTTCTTAAAGCTCTAGTGCTGAGAACCCTCCAGCCTCCCTTTCTGACTTTCCTTCTCTTTATCTCTGATGCCCTACCCTCCTAGCGTTTAGAAATATTTTATGCAGTGCATGAATCCAGATTCTTGTTCAGCTTCAGTGCAGGAAAGTTGAGTCTCATCTTTCCAGGTATGTTTTACCTACAACATTAGGTTGTCTGCCATCCATTTTTCTACATTTAGACCATTATTTGCTTCATACAAAGACAACAGTGCAGCTCTATGCAAATCTTTTTTTTTTTTTACATAGCACAAATAGTAGAATGCTCAAGCCCTGTATGTTTTACTGGAATGAGCAAAAATGATTGCAAGCGGCCTAGTGCTCTGAAAGATTATTAAGAAGGAATTTCACTGACTGGTGGCCAAGAACGTTTTTCCAAGCAGCTCAGAGAATAGCCTTTGATTACATGGAGGAAGTTAACCATGTTAAGGTTGCTGTTTTGCAGCCGTTCCTTCCTCGCTGTGTAGCTCTGGAATATAGACCTCCCAAAACCATGAGGCAGAAAGAAGAAATAAATGCTCAACTCAGCAAGGTCTTTCCACAGGAGGCACATTCACTGGAAGAAAAACTAACTAGAAATTAAAATACATTTCCAGTATGATCTTAACACATTTTAATTTCTTCCCTGGAGTTAACACATCATCCCACTTGCTTGCAGAAAGTTAAAGGAACTCAAGGTACAAAACTGGAAGAACAAAGGAACTTCAACCTCAGGTGACAATTTGGATGCTGTTATGATGCTGCACCAGTACAGAAGGAGCCCAAGAAGAAGCATACCTGGTGCTTATGGCAGAATGTCAAGAGCAATTAGCCCAGAAATAAAAATGCTTCACCAGCATCCTGTGTAGCTATTAATATTCATAGACTTAATGGGCAGTAGCTATTCCTGCTGAGTGGTAGATGGATGAAAGAGGTGGATCTATGGGCTTTTCTACCTGCTTTTGTCTGAGACTTTGTAAGCGAATTTAATAATTTCTTCCCACATCTGAAAAGACAGAAGAACAATTAAGTTGAGATAACTGAGACATGGGATACTTCTGTTTATGATGGATACTTTGCTGTTCATTGGCATTCCTCTCTTCTTATTTCTCAATTTTTACTGTAAAGCTCCTTTACTATGATGGGAAGAATTCTTCCGGTGGCACTAGTGTGTTATTTTTATTGCAGCAGCTGGCTAAGACCTGGTAAAGAATAGCCACTACCCAATTTAGAAGAGCATTTTTACTGACTTGCTAGACACTTGTTTAAAACAGAAATAGCACTAGAACAACAGAGAAGAACAATTGCTTTGAAATGTGAGCGATTATTAACAAAGAGTAAGTGATGGGCTGAAAATTAAATATAACTTTCCTCTGCTCTCATATACATGTAATCACGAAGTTCTTTTTTTTTACCTTCTATATATTCCATTTCTCTGCTCTCAGAAACACTGAGATCAATACTGTATTAATAGTAAAGTACTATATCCTCATATCTGGCCTATGGCATTCAGGCTCCCTAATAACTCCAAAATTTAGTTGGAGTTAAGTTTATAAATCCTTATAAATCACTTTTAAAATACATGTGTAAAATAAGGAAGGAGACAGTTACTATCTCATCAAGGTACCTGTGGTCTTATGAAACTGGCAGCTCAAGAGTAACTGTTTTGTGTGGTCTATACTCAGCAACACAAGCATTGTTTTCCAAAGAAAAAAACAACTTGTGCAAAAAATAAGCAGTGCAGAACATAGTTCAGGCCCTGTCTGTAGTCTGCAGTTGAAACTCTTCGGTTAAAAAACATCAGTCATTTTCTTAGTATGAGCAAGTGACTGCAGAAAAAGCGAGAAAAGCTCTATACCTAGACACAAAAAAAAATCCCTACCTTGGAAATTTCAAATCAGTGCTACTGTCTAAGAGCTTACAAGCATATAAAAAAGCCATGACGTGCATATTCTAAACCATCTTCAGGTTTCTGCTGATCTTTCTTTAAAAATCGAAGTCAGCAAGTCCAGTGCAGTCCACTCAATTTCCCGTCCATTTTCAACGGAAAATGCAGTTTCTGCAAAGCTCTTCAAACCCCTGTTCAGAAAATAATCTATTGTTCTAGTCGGGGGTTTTGTCGAAAACCAAAAGTAGATGTCAGGTTTCAAGCGATGTTATTTGCACTTTTCGGATCCCACGCCTGGCACACTTGGCATTCCCTGACGGAGCCGCCTCCCGCCTGCGCCCCGCCCCGCTGACGCGTTGCATTGCATCATGGAAAACGTAGTCTCGCCGGGTAAACCAGCCTACGTGAATGAAGCCAGCAGGCGCTCGAACCGCGGCTTCTGCCCTACCCGCTGGCAGGCGCCGTTCGCTCTTAAATCCAAGCCAGGTGAATAGGTGTCGTTTTCAACGGCCGGTCGCCAAGAGTGCCGTCTCCAAGATAAAGTTCCAAAACACCCGATTAGTTAGAAATGTTGCTTGTTCTTAAATGATCGATCGAAGTCTCTCTCCATCGGAAAGACGGCATCGGCTTTATTTGCTAGACCTGATCCTTACCGTGTAGTAGTATTTTCACAGTATTTTGCGTTAGCGGCGTGGCTGTATTTAGGGCCAGAGCTCCCTGCTACAAGCAGGGGTGGCATCTGGTATTTCCCCAGCGCTAATGCAGGAGCTCGATTTTTTTTTTTTTTGATCCAGGAAGGCCATTTCATAGGAGGAGCCGGTACGCTCCCGAACGGTACGGTTTTTTGGTGTTTTTTTTTTTTTTTTTTTTTTTGTTTTGTTTGTTTGTTTGTTTGTTTTTTTTCTTTTTTAACGAAGGCAGTAAAAGAAGAATCCGCTCGGCTTCACGCCCTGCTGCCACCGCGCCGCTTGCTAAAAATTAACCGGGACAGACGGCCGGCACCAGCCTCTTCCCGGAGCCCCGCGGACACCGGGGCAAGCACAAGGCGTTACCCGCGACCCGCCGCGGGGCTGCGGCGCCCGGCGCTTCCCCTCGGGGTACCGGGGCCGTCCCGAGCCGGGCGGCCGGCGCTGGCCGCGGCCCTCCCGCGGCTGCCGTGCTCCCTCGAATAAAGGCGACAAACAGAAGAAAAAAAAAATAAATAAGCAAGTAAATAAATAAATAAACAACAAAACATCAGTATCGGGGCGCGCCTCGCTGAGGTACCTCAGGGGCTCGGTGCAGGCGCGCGCCCAGGCCTTTTCCCCCGCCGCGGGCCGCTCCTACCTGCCCTCCGAGGCTCCCCCACCGCCGCTCCCAGCTCCCCCGGAGCCCCGCCGGGCGGGCGCCGCTCCGGCACCCCCGAGAGGGCGAGGCGCCGGAGACGCGCCGGCCCCCGCCCTTCCGCGGCCGAGGGCGCCCGCCTCAGCCGTTACCGTATTTCCCCGCCGCGAGGCGCAGCGGCCCCCGCCCGCCCGGCGGCTTTCCCCGCAGAGGTGACCCGGCGGAGGCGGCGGCGGCCCCGCCCCCGCGTTCCATTCCCTACATGGAGGCAGAGAGAGGCGCCGCCCGTCACGCCCCCTTTTCCCACACGCGCGCGAGGCGCGCCGAGGCCCGAGCGCGTGACATCAGCGGGGGAGGGAGGGGGAAGAGCGTCCCGGCCCCCCCCGCCCGCCCGCCCGCGCGCGGAACGCGCCTTCCCCGGGCTGTTCTATTTACGTTTGTGGCGCCGATTTGCATAAGGCGAGCGCCGTTGGCGCGGCGTCCGGCACCGCCCCCTGCAGCCATATAAGGGCAGAGGGGGGCGTGTCCCCAGGGGGCTCGCGGCCGCTCGCTGCCTTCCTGGAGCCGTTTATAGGGTACAGCCACTTCCGCTGTCTGCTTAGAAGCGGCGCGATCATGGCGGAGCGCGGTCAGCTCCCTGCCCCCGCCAAGCGCCTCTGCTGCAGACCCGGCTATGGCTCGGGGTGCAGGCCGGGCCAGCGGGCGGGCGGCGCCGGGCCCGGCAGCGGGGCGCTCTGCGCCGGACCCTCCTCCGCAGCCGCCGCCGCCGCCCTGGGGCTGCTGCCGCTCGGCAAGACCCAGAGCCCCGAGTCCCTGCTGGACATCGCGGCTCGCAAGGTGGCGGAGAAGTGGCCCTTCCAGCGGGTGGAGGAGCGGTTCGAGCGGATCCCGGAGCCGGTGCAGCGCAGGATCGTCTACTGGTCCTTCCCCCGCAGCGAGAGGGAGATCTGCATGTACTCCTCCTTCAACACCGGCGCCGAGGACCCAGCCGCCGCCCCCGGGGGGGCCGCCGCGCCTGGCGGGGCCGCGGACGCCGCCGCTGCCGCCGACGAGAACCGCCTGCCCTTCCGCAGGGGCATCGCTCTGCTCGACGGCGGCTGCGTCGATAACGTCCTGCAAGTCGGTGAGTCACCGGCCGGGGCCACGCTCCGGAGCCCGGGCCGCCGCCGCCCGGGCAGGGCGCCGCCGGCCTTCCCCCGCCGCGGGTCTGCCCCCCCTGCATGTCACCCGCCTGCCGTCCGGGGACTCGCCTCCCGCCTGCCCTCCCTCGGCGCCCGGAGCCCGCCCCGCTTCGCCCGGCCGCCCGCCGAGGGGGTGGGGGTGAGGGGGGCGGCAGGCAGCGCGGGCGGTGAGCTGCCCCCCGGCCCCCGCGGCGCGGCCCGGCCCGAACGAGCCCTTCGCTCCCCGGCTGTAATGCGGGGCCGGGCAACTTCCTCCGCCGGTCTCCTCCCCCTCGCGCCCAGGACACGGAGAAACTCCCTCGCTCCGTGACGCGGCCACGGCCCCCGCCGCCGGGCGGGCCGCCCCCCGCCTGTCCCTTTAACTCCCACCCCCCCGCCCCGCACCGCGCCGGGCCCCGCTCCCGGTAATCCAGCCCGTGTAATCCCGTTTGGCTCTGCCCCCTCCCATCGCCCACCCCCGGTAATCCGGGTCATCGCCTTACCCCGAGCCACAATAGCGAGGAGATGCCGCCCCCCATCCCGGGGGGGGACCGCCGGTGGAAATGAATCAGCAGAAGGGCGGCCGGCGGGGGAAGGAGCGGGGGGGCGGGGAGCGGGATGTGCCGCCGTCCAAAATAAAGACATAAGAGCGGTGCGAGACCTCGGCAGCGGGTGTGCGGGTTCGGGGGGGTGTGGGGGGGAAATCCACGAACAAAGGCATTTCTAGGGCAGCGGCGGCGGCGAGCCGGAGGGAGGGGGCGCGATCCACCCCGCCTGGGGGGGGACATGGGAGGGGGTTTGCTTTGGGATGAGCCGATTCGTGACAAGAGGGGGCGGGGGGGGGGTGGGAAGCGCTGCTCTTCCTCCTCCTGGAACAATACCCCTCTCCTCTTCCTCCCCCCTCCCCAGCCACTCCGCCTGCCGCTGCACTTCGCCCGCTGCGAGTGCCCCTGGTTAACTCCTCCCTATCTGTGTTTAAAGGGCTGCAGAGGTGGGTACCCCCCCACACTTCTGGGGGGCTGTCTGCCGGGAGCGGCTCCCCCCCCCCCCGCCATCCCTACTCGGGGGAGCCGCTCCGGGTAGACAGCCCCCCGGCCCCCCACCGGTGGGTGATGCTCTTTGTGCGACCCGGCCACTTTGTTCTCATTTTGATGTTTATTTGTGTCCTTTTCTCCTTTTTTTTTTTTTTTCCTTTTTTTTTTTTTTTTTTTTCCCCCCCAGTTTTCTGTCACTTCCCCTCCTCCTCCCCCGAAAAGGGGAAGGCAGACAAAAGAGGCTGCTGCTTGCCTTTTGTTGGCGGCGGCGGCCCGGGGCGTGTATGAGGGGACGTCGGGATCACCCTCTCACCCTCCCCCAAAACCTCAGTCCTGCCCGCGGGAGGGCAGCTTCAAGACGTGCCATCAGTTTTTTTTTCCCCGAAGGGAAGCTGTCTCCCTTCTAGGCTCAGTGCCCTTCTCTTCTGCCTAGGGGGACTTCAATCTTCTTTTTTATTTTTTATTTTTTTTATTTTTTAAATCTAATTAACTTTCTTATAAGTTTCATCTTTTGGCTTTCTCTTTCCAAAAGTCTGTGGTGCATCTGTGGTTCTTCAGGACTGGCAAAACCAGAAGTAGAGCTTTTTTAGTTTGGTTGGCAGTGCTGAGATTTTTTTTTTTTTCCCCTTTTGCTTGCACTTGATTCTGTTTGCAAGCGATGAGGAATGACAGCAGTGCACATAGGGAGAGTTTCTTGGCTGATTACATTTAAGCCAGGAATTCGCTGTGAAAATAAAGCCAAGGGGAGATAAATAAAAGATGCAATCTTCTCTAGGAGACAGACACCCAGCGTGGGCTTTGCTTCTCATGCTTTCAGCAGTGGAATAGGCCTCTGTGAGTAGTGTGAAAGAAAAAAAGTAACTTTTTGTATGGCTTCAAAAGGGGGTAGGGGGGCATTGAATAATGTTGGCAAGGGTCAGTGTGAAGAAAGAAAATATGCATAAATACAACTGAAGTGTTGACTGCTGCTTCTGGAGCCCTTAAATGCATTCCAAACAAATGCTATACCTGCTGCTGAAAATACATTTGATTTGTGGTGGTGTTTTGTTTGTTTTGTGTTGTTTTGTTTTGTGTGTGTGTTTTGGGTTTTGTTGTCTTTTTTTTTTTTTATTATTTTATTTTCTTTTTCCCCAAACTTCTGTGAGCTGCACAAAAATAGTGGTGGAAACTGGTGATATGAAACACGTCGGTTGTTTTGACAGAGGCCTTTGGCTTTCCTGGAGAGGGAGTTGTGGAGCACCTGTGCAGGCTGGGTTGGGCTGTAGGAAAGTTCTTGTGTAATTTGGGTAGGTAACTGTGTCATTAGGACTGGCTCTTGTGGACAAGATATTCCTTGTGAAACAGAAGGTGCAACTGTTAAAGCCAATTCGACTGGAGTGAGTTACAGTGGGTGGAGAATGGAATTTGTTCCATGTAATACAGCTGAATATGTAGCATTGAGGAAAACTTAATGTTGAGTTTATGTAAGTGCATGTTTAGTGACCGTACAAATATGAACTTATGTTCTTTGCAATATGAGTAATGGAAACTCAGTAAACGTTTACTATTGTACTATGGAAAAGTGCAGTTATTGGACAAAGTACATTTTATTACATATCAATTCTAACCGCCTTACTTGTAACCCTAAGTATTACTATAAACAGGGAACACAAGATTTGTTTTCTGGAGGGAGATGCATAAATTTCAGTTCAGTGGTAGTTACATGGAACCATTTGCTTCTGAATTTTACTTTTTTTCTTTCAGTCAACCCTGAATAAACATTCAGACAATTTTATGATGGCAACTCATTTCAAGAGGTAGAATTTAAAAAAACGTGTCTATGCTCTGCTGAAAATCTTCATGTGATCCTGTTTCATGCCCTCCCAATTTCAACTTGTGTGTGATGAAAAGAAAATCCCAAATAAAAGGAAGATTACACATTAGTGATATGCACAAATAATGTTATTTATAATCAATCAGTAAAGTTGTCTGGTAGCCTGTTTTTAAGATGAATGATATTGTCCTAGTGTAATAATTAGCATCACTTAATTTTGAAATATTTTTATCCAAAGAATTTGGCTTCAGAATTCCATTTGCATGTAATTTATCGATGCTTTTATAGCTTTTTGGTATAGGAAGGATTTAAAATTTTAGTTCATTAAAAAAAACAAAACAAAACAAAAAAACAACCAAGCAACAAAAAACCTCCTCCCCCCCAAAAAAAACAGAAAAACCAACAAAACAAAAAACAAACAGAATGTGGGTTCCCAAAACAAACCTTTTCAACTGCATAAAACAGAGCTTTCCTACCATACACTTTTTTCATTTATTTCAAACCAAGTATTTTTAGTAAAAATTAGCATCTAAACATGAGAGCACTATGTGAGTAAATACAACAATCTGGAAGGAAAATTAGAAATTGTGTTTCTTTTGGCCAAATTTGTGAAGATGCCGGGAGTGAGCAGACAGTTTTAGATCATGAAGTGTTTATTTGGTTTCTGAGGTTAGTCCTGAATTAGTATACAGTACTGTATTGTCGTCACAGCTGTGGCTGTCAAGGTTAGGAAGAGGTGTGATCCCTCAATAGCACAGCTGACCTGGCGAGAGCCCTTAATGCAGCTATTCTAGGAGCAGAAAAAAAACCCTGTGCCTCTGCTGGTATGACTCTTCTTGCTTAGGGAAAGACAGGGACTGCCTTCGCTGTAGTGCTGTAAAGCTTGGCTTTACTGCTGTAGCAGCATCCACATTAGAAGTACCTGAAGTGGTTTTTTGATATGTCACATAAGTACTCCTAGAGTATCCTTGTCTGTCTGTAATTTGAGG